AAGAACGTAATGTTAGACAAATGTGTGCTCCAGAAACTAACTGTAACATTTGTCTACACTACATATCACGAGGGCATGCTCAAGAACGTAATGTTAGACAAATGTGTGCTCCAGAAACTAACTGTAACATTTGTCTACACTACATATCACGAGGGCATGCTCAAGAACGTAATGTTAGACAAATGTGTGCTCCAGAAACTAACTGTAACATTACCTTATGCTATATTGTATAACATTGATTGACACTATAGGTAATTAATTTAACGGTATGCTACGTTCTATACCAATGACACTACGGATAATTAGTTACGTTATATACCGTTGACACTACTGGTAATTAATCTAACCTATGTTACGTTATATACCGTCGACACTACTGGTAATTAATCTAACCTATGTTACGTTATATACCGTTGACACTACTGGTAATTAATCTAACCTATGTTACGTTATATACCGTTGACACTACTGGTAATTAATTTAACCTATGTTACGTTATATACCAATGACACTACGGATAATTAGTTACGTTATATACCGTTGACACTACTGGTAATTAATCTAACCTATGTTACGTTATATACCAATGACACTACGGATAATTAGTTACGTTATATACCGTTGACACTACTGGTAATTAATTTAACCTATGTTACGTTATGTAACGTTGACACTACTGGTAATTAATTTAACCTATGTTACATTATATACCGTTGACAGTACTGGTAATTAATTTAACCTATGTTACGTTATGTAACATTGACACTACAGATGATTAATATAAATTATACTATGTTATGTAACATTGACACTACAGATGATTAATATAAATTATACTATGTTATGTAACATTGACGCTACGAGTAATTAGTTTCACTTATGCTTAGTTATATAAATTAATTGTTACAACTGATTTGCCTAAAATGACGATATCTTTGGTTGTACACCGATAATCTTTAGTTTGTGCTCGTTGTATTATTATCTTTGTTAAAGGTATCCAGTGTCTGTAGTAACAAAGAATTTTAATACCGTAATAACAGTATAGATATTAAATATTCAACAAGTCAAAATCACACCAAACATCACTCCTATGTTAGAAGATGCTAATGGTTTTAAAGTCAAAATGCAAAGAATATGCCTGTTATGAAGGAATATTTAAAATAAATTTTTTGAAATCACTTACATTTAAGAGAACGTTGTTGTAAATAAAATTACATTTTGTGCAGTTTTGGTTCACTAATATTTTTGCATTGTTTGAAACATTCTAAATATTTACACCTTGAAATTCAAGTAACATTGGTGTAAGGAGTTGTACAACAACACTAGTTTTCCAGTGTTGCAGAAAGGATCCGTAAGGTGTTCTGTTAGCTTTCGTGAAGAACAATTTCACTTACTCTCAGATTAAAATCTACTAAAATAACGAATAGGAAAAAAAAATACTGTAATTAGAGATCCCTCACTTTCGACAACAGCTGCACAGAATTAGATAAGTAACGCAATTTATTAACGATTAGTGTTTATGTATTAATTAATGTAATTTATTAGCAATTAGTGTTTATGTATTAATTAATGTAATTTATTAGCAATTAGTGTTTATGTATTAATTAATGTAATTTATTAGCAATTAGTGTTTATGTATAATATGTTATGACTTTTCAGTTTTATACATGTAAACCAATATCAAGTTTCCTGGCTTTTTAAGATCATCTAATTTTCTGGTTTAATTCTAATATAGGTCTCTTCTTACAATGGCCATGTTAATTGGTGTAATGATACTGAGACGCAGATAATTCTGATACAGCAAAAGGGATAACTTAGACAGGCATGTGTTTGTATAACAATCAAATCATATTTAACCATCATGATCACTAAGGAGGTGAAAAATGTTATCAGATAATTGGTTAACCAGTATTTTACGTATCAGTTACCTTTTATTTATGTCCCACCGTTAAATATTGGATAGCCAATCACTGTAGAAAAAAGTTAAATATTGGATAGCCAATCACTGTAGAAAAAGTTAAATATTGGATAGCCAATCACTGTAGAAAAAGTTAAATATTGGATAGCCAATCACTGTAGAAAAAGTTAAATATTGGATAGCCAATCACTGTAGAAAAAAGTTAAATATTGGATAGCCAATCACTGTAGAAAAAGTTAAATATTGGATAACCAATCATTGTAGGAAAAGTTAAATATTGGATAACCAATCATTGTAGGAAAAGTTAAATATTGGATAACCAATCACTGTAGACATATTTACCAAAATAATGATCCATCTCAGTCCGTTCTTTTGCTCCTGTTGAACATATGAGTCAAGATCTGGAAATCTTTCTGAATCCACTGTAAAGACTTTGTTATCTTCCATATGGTCAATATCTACATACTGAACATCCTACAAAATATGTACCAAAGGATTATAATGGCTGTGTTAATAAATGTGTTTAACTTGTACCTGCTAATATAAAGAAACTAACCAACTAACTAAAATTAAATGTAAAATTACACACAGATATATATATACTGCAGTAATAATAAAACATAATGAGAATTAGTTTTATCTGTTGTTCAAGCTTTATCAAAAATGAGTAAAACAAGTGTGCATATATATTAAACATTTAAACTAAATTTCTTACTAGTAAAATTATTTGTTGTAAAAGTTTCTTTCGCTGAGAGTGTTGTATTGTTTGACACATTCACAGAGTAGACAGAGAAGGATAAAAAGTATCATCCTAACATAACGAATTGTCAAATTATACACAAAAATAAGGAGGCCTAAAAACAACTGAAGTGGAAGAATTTGGGACAATAAAAATCACGATGTAGACTTAGAGATTATATAGAGATAAAACGTACTTATAAATAGAAAATCCATATGTTAATAGTTGGTGAAACGTGACAGATATAGTGAAATATCACGATAAGACCACTTATATTTTTAACATTAGTTTTTAACTGTTGTAATATGTGTTTTCACTATATCTTTCTTGAAAACTAAAAACTGAAGGTTTATTCCGTATAAGAAACATACGTTAAGCTAATACTTACTAGAGGAATGTGTGCATTACGAGTCCTTTCCACAGCTTTTTGAAGGTTGGTGATGTTTTCGTAACCATAGCGAGAAAGCTGAAATCCAAGGGCCCAGTACGGTGGTATCATAGGTCTACCTATCAGCTATGTTAAAGTCCATAAATCAAACAGTGAAATATTTCCAAAGGAAAGAAGATAAAATGGCATGGGCTACTTATTAAATTTGAATGGGTAAACACAACGGCACTAATTATAGCGATTGTTGCGCGTCACGCCAACAGAGGGCGCCTATAGATTTAAACATGTATTTATATTTTTCATTTATACATTACATAATGTTTTTTAAAAAGGCTGATAGTGTTTTTATAGACTGTTTATAGTTTTAATTTTTATATTTAAGTATACTTTTCACAGTTATTATCCTGAAAAAGACGCTTATTTAAATATCATGCAATAATTTAACATGAAAGCTATCTTCATCAGGACAATAACTGTATAAAGTACACTTAAATATAGAAACTAAAACTATATCAGTCTTTGTAAAACATATGTAATATATATAAATGAAAATTAAAAGTTGAAATCTGTATTCAATCTTGTAAAACACCACCCACCTTTGTAAAACACATGTAATACAAATAAATATATAAATGAAAACAAAAACCTAGGTTAAGACATGTATGTTATCCCATGGGACTGTCAGCCTTTGTAAACTGTATTTAATGCTTAACTTATAAGGCGAAACGGAATTAAATTTCGACATTGATGACATGCTGAGACACTCTGTGATGAGATCATCATGGCAGCCTAGCCACACGAAGTTAAAATCTGTACGCAATCCTGTGAGACTATCCGTCTAGTAACAACATCCACCTATAGTAACAGGCCCTCTGTTATCGAACTATGATATCACCTCTCCCTAAGGTAGCCACGTCCTCTGGTTCCACTTCGTGGAACTATGACGTCACGCGTAGCAACGCTCTCTCTGTCCTCTACTTATCATAGTAACGCGCCCTCTGGTGACACTTCGGGGAACCATGACGTCATCGATTAGATATTATTGTGAGCGTGTTTCATGAGTGCTTTTGTGAGGATTCATGGTTGTTTTCGTAGATTTTGAGCTTGATATTCGTTCTGGTAGGACTGTACCCCGTTTGTTTTGGGATTTGATAATTTTTCTAATTTTATGTTTTGTGTTGAGTGCTTCATTTTCTATTGTTGGAAATCCTTGATGTTTTTTTTTCTAGATTCTATTTAACATGTGTGTAAGATGTAGAGTGTATTCCTGCATCAGCCATTATAAATAATGTCGACGTGAGTATTTACTGAATTGACTAAGAAGTTGTATGTTGTCAGTCCGTGTACTCTCAGGAAAGCAAGATATCCTTCAGTAAAGACAAAAGTGGTAAAAAGTGATGGAGTGAAAAGCTGGACTTTCGTGCACGCGCCTAAGCTATGTGTATATATATATATCAATAATTCTAAAGCTATCAAATACATTAATGGTAAATAGGCGATATTTATAATCAGCACTATAATACAATAATGTCGAATTTAATATAAATCAAAAACATACAAAGAAACTCAAAAATCAAAATTAAGGGTGTGTGTTTGAAGTGTGCATAAAAATGAAAATAAAAATGTGTTTAACTGTACATAGACGTTTATAAGGACAAGTTCACAATTTATGTTATTAAACAAGCATAACTGTACATAGACGTTTATAAGGACAAGTTCACAATTTATGTTATTAAACAAGCATAACTGTACATAGACGTTTATAAGAACAAGTTCACAATTTATGTTATTAAACAAGCATAACTGTACATAGACGTTTATAAGGACAAGTTCACAATTTATGTTATTAAACAAGCATAACTGTACATAGACGTTTATAAGGACAAGTTCACAATTTATGTTATTAAACAAGCATAACTGTACATAGACGTTTATAAGGACAAGTTTCACAATTTATGTTATTAAACAATCAGAAAGGTAAATTTATAAAAATAAGTAATAAATCACTTAAGTAGAAGTTAAGAAGTACTTAATACACATTCCTTATTAAGTGGTTACTTACTTCCGTATATAGCTGAATAACATGTTCTGGGGAATCTCCAATAAACATGAAGAAATCCAAAATTCCCCCAATCGTGCGATAAGAAAGTCCTGGGAAAGGCAACAGTGTGTATTCTGTTCAACAAGAGACTTTGTATTAGTATAGTTCCTGATACAACGGGATTTAGAAAAATACTACACGAATCCCTTATGGAGCGACTATAAATTACTAAGTTTTAATACGATTAATAAAATACGTGTATCCATTAGAATTAGACAACAATGTATGTTCATTGTAGAATGTCAAACAATATTGTAAAGAACAATAAGGTTCGTTGATGTAGATAAAACAATACAGCAAGCAACCATGTCCGCATCAGGCGTAATCAGACTGAACATTCTAATATGTAATGAGCACGTAAACATTGTTATAAATTATAGAATATACAGACGCATCTTTCGCTCCAAAAAGTGGGCGTCAATATAAAATACTCGAACTCTTATAACGACGTTTTTATAAAAAATCAGGGGGGGGGGGCAAGTGTAATGAAATATCATTTACTATTATGATATCATTCTTACTCGAGTACAGTTCAACTCAGCCTAGCTGAAATAATATACTTATAATCTCTGTGTTGATGAAAAGCTTTGCGTTTATCAGCCTAAAACTGAATATATTGTACTACAATGTATTCAATGCACCCTTTTCGGTGGAATCGTGTATTTATTTAATTAAGCTTGAAAAAGACGTTTGTAATCTATGTTTAATACTTCATCTTAGATGCTACCCTAAAATGGTTCACATTTTGCAAATTGAAACGATTACGTTCTACCTGTAAAACTAAACAACACTTTGCGCAAGGAATGCGAATCTGTTTTTACAAAACAAACCGTTTCCAAAACTTACATAGAATTACTTAATATAAAATCTAAGTCATTTTGTTTGTAGTTATACTTAAATCTGTTTGTTTTCATGATGTAAGTATTCATTCATTACTCCTCTATGGCATGCCTCACCAAGCAGAAAACACAAACTGTTTTGAAATATTCACCATAGGTTCGTGCTTAACAACTTCTAATAACCGTTAAAGAAACTAACGCTTGCACCAAGAACTGAATATGTGCAGTCAATACAAGGGTGTTTTGGAGCATGCTCGAGGATTACTGTAACTGTTTTAAAATGAATACGATAAATTTCACATTTGTTCTGTTCACAACGCTAGAATTCGGGTTTCGATACCCATGGTTGGCAGAGCACAGATAGCCCATTGTGTAGCTTTGTGCTTAATTACAAACACACAAACAAACAATTGTTCTCTTCCTTTCTACGTACTTGACATTTCAAGCTAAAAAAAAAGTTGAATCATCTATGTTGTTCATATATATTTTTAAATAATTCACGTGTGACTGTGTACATAAGTTGGATTACTTTTAAGAAACAAAAAAGCGTTGTAATGTTTAATGAAACCTATCCATAGCATTACTATTGAGTAACAAAAAAGCGTTGTAATGTTTAATAAAACCTACCCATAGCATTACTATTGAGTAACAAAAAAGCGTTGTAATGTTTAATAAAACCTACCCATAGCATTACTATTGAGTAACAAAAAAGCGTTGTAATGTTTAATAAAACCTACCCATAGCATTACTATTGAGTAACAAAAAAGCGTTGTAATGTTTAATAAAACCTACCCATAGCATTACTATTGAGTAACAAAAAAGCGTTGTAATGTTTAATAAAACCTACCCATAGCATTACTATTGAGTAACAAAACGCCATGAGATTTTCCCTCCGCGTTCTCCAAGCAAGTGTAAAAAGGATGAACACCATAGAGGTTTTTGTTCCCCTGCAAATAAAATAACATTTAAGTAAACTAACAGTATGCTTCCATAGGTTCAGAAGCTTTCAGAGGTAAACGGATTAATAATAACACTGATCCTGAATAGGTTACATTGCATAGCACAGATTAAGATAAAAATCAGAGATAACAAAAGCGCTCGAGAAGTGTTGACTAATATTCAAAGTCCTGCAATCAAACCTTTAAAGCTGAAGAAAGGTCACGTTTACGTGCAAATCAAATGAAGTAAGTTTAAATCCTTATTTTCAAGTTCTCTATCAGAATGAACTATACACACACACACATATATATTTATAACGATGGAATTCGGAGTTTGGCACCATAGTGGACACAACACAAATAGCCCAGTGTGCAGTTTTACGCTTAAACAAACAAACAGGTGAACAGTCCTAGGTATTATAACTAAGAAATATTAACTTGAAGAAAGTTGTGTCCAAGTTTACAGGCCCGGCACGGCCAGGTAGTTAGGGCGCTCGACTCGTAATCTGCGAGTCGCGGGTTCGAATCCCCGTCACACCAAGCATGCTCGCCCTTTCAGCCGTGGGGGCGTTATAATGTTACGATCAATCCAACTATTCGTTGGTAAAAGAGTAGCCCAAGAGTTAGCGGTGGGTGGTGATGACTAGCTGCCTTCCTTCTAGTCTTACACTGATAAATTAGGGACGACTAGCGCAGATAGCCCTCGTGTAGCTTTGCGCGAAATCCACAACAAACAATAAACCAATTGGGCTTAAAATAAAGCTAAAGGCTTAACCCAAAACCCCACATGTTCTTGAGATAAAAATCTTTATTCATATATAAGTGGATGTTTAGCGTGTTTGTTAATTGAATATCACATATTTATATATTACATACACACACATATATATGTGTGTGTGTGTGTAAATACTGAATTTCGTGGAATACAGAGCTCCCCACTTACGTCACTAGGCGGTTCGTCTCTAGCAAACAACGGCCAAGTCTGGTAGTTCTGGATGTTTAGCGTGTTTGTTAATTGAATATCACATATTTATATATTACATACACACACATATATATGTGTGTGTGTGTGTAAATACTGAATTTCGTGGAATACAGAGCTCCCCACTTACGTCACTAGGCGGTTCGTCTCTAGCAAACAACGGCCAAGTCTGGTAGTTCAGGTCGTGACGAAAACTTTGGTGAGGGTTCTCTCCAAACCCGTAGATATTTTCTGACGGCAAGTATGTGGCAATTTGTAAAAACTGCTCCTCAAATACGAAACCTCCGATTGTGGTATCCCATCTGTGAAAACGGCAAACATGTTTATCCTATTACCATAACATTAAAAAATGAGCTAACACATATTTAATCGTATAAACAGCCACTTACAGTATTGTAGAGTTCTTCCGTTGTATTTTAAAACTAAAAGAAGAATTTTCATAATCTCCTACAACGACCTCATACATCCTGTTTTTGTTGCCTTTTCGTCTAAGCTGAGGAACATTAAATTCTTCCGATTCTACTGGAACTTTGTAACGCTGCTTGGCTTCGTCTTGAAACTTTTGGAATAGAAAACGTATCCAACTTGTATTATAAAAATACTGTAATACTTAGATCATTTTAAAGATACTGTAATACTTAGATCATTAAAAGATACTGTAATACTTAGATCATTTTAAAGATACTGTAATACTTAGATCATTTTAAAGATACTGTAACACTTAGATCATTAAAAGATACTGTAATACTTAGATCATTAAAAGATACTGTAATACTTAGATTAAAAGATACTGTAATACTTAGATCATTAAAAGATACTGTAATACTTAGATCATTTTAAAGATACTGTAATACTTAGATCATTAAAAGATACTGTAATACTTAGATCATTTTAAATATACTGTAACACTTAGATCATTAAAATATACTGTAATGCTTAGATCATTATAAAGATACTGTAATACTTGGATCATTATAAAGACACTGTAACACTTGGATCATTATAAAGACACTGTAATACTTAGAACATTAAAAGATACTGTAATACTTAGATCAAACTTTAAACTAGAACGTAATTGCTTAACATTGTAGCTGATTTGTGGAATGAAATAAATAAAAAATTAGGATATAGAGCTAAATTATTTTGAAATGAAG